AAAAACAATCTCACAATTGCATCCGGTGTCTCGATTTGAGTAGAAAAAGTAGGACAAGAATATGACATTTTATGGTGTCCGGAATCCGAAAGAGAGGGGGGATAGGAAAAGGCGATTTCTTCCAACGGATTCTTGAGAAAAACTCATTTTATGTTACCACCACCGTGAAATTCCCGTCGTACATTCGTTACTAACTTGCAACAAAATCCGCGAAACGTGACGAAGCGCGTAAAGTCGTTGAATTGGCGAACTCGGGACTCGTCATTCTTGTAATCCGCGTTGACCATGATAGCGGCGTCGCGATTAAATATTGACACGGCGCGACTGACACGGTGCTGGACGACGCGCGTCCAAGTAATATTATTATTTTCGGCCGAACGTCACGTATATTTTAATCCACGTGGACGCTGCCTGAGCCAACGACAATGGCGAGAACGTGACCGGGTGCGGTATCGGCGATAGCGTCGAGCGCGCGACGCATCGCCTCATCGCGTGCCATTCTCTATTTTCATGTTAATTCGTCGTAATTAGCTTTAAATCATTCTCGCGTCTTAATTGAATTCGCGCTCGCGCCCAACTGCCCGTTATAACGTACGGTATCCGCCGCAATAACCGCCAAAATAACGAATCGAATTGTTAAGAGTAAAGTTCTGTTCGCTATGGCTCAGATTGAGCCGACACGAGACGCTTTTCTCGTCGTAGTTCTTCGCAATTTTCCGCGCGATTCATTACATGCTACTCCGGAAAATCGTTTCACCGAAGCTTCCTTCGTCGCAATCCGTTCGTCGCGAGAGAAATCTTGTCGTACAATCCTTACAGAAATTTATTACTGCTAAGCTAGTAATTAATTTTGAATATTTCGATTAATTTCGAATGCTTATTTTGAATATTTGAAATACTGTCGTTAGCAATTCGTAATGATTAAATTATAGAGCTCGCAGGGATCCCAAATATTTCAGTGCTTGGGGTTGCAGATCAAACATTACCTTATCATTAACATGAATACTTAAATGCTAATGCTTAATAGCGCAGTAGTGATGAAATATACCCTTGCAGAAATTTATTACTGAGAATGATTGAATTTGCAGTGATTAAATATTGAGAAAGCAGTAGAAATACAGTAAATACTGAAGATGCATCAAGCAAGTGTCCTGGTAGCAGAACATCTAGAATACCCGACCGCCAACTAGGCCATCCAGATTCAATACTATGAATTTGTATTTTTTCCCTCGTTTATCCTTCTTCCTTTTTTTATTACTTTTATTATCAACATCAATAAGAAACACATACAGTCTTTTTATGCATATAATTTGAAATATATTAACCAATGATTAGGTATTGGCCAAATAATTGTTCAAGTATTGCCAGTATTTAATCACTATAAAATCCTTAGTAATCCTCAGTATTAAATTTCTGTAAGGGAGCCAACGGCAAAATCTGCTGCGATCGTATCGCGCAACTGAGATAAATTGATATTAATATATCCGAAGTTATATATATCACTGCGATTAATTAATCATTCATCCTCGGATTTCCATCTCCAGCGGACGGTGCGAGGACACGTTTTCCCACGCTTCCTTGAAACTTTCCTCGACGCTTATATTTCAACCGAGGCGGATAGATTAGTGTGGTACTTTTATGCCGTTACTGTGGCTACTGATACTTTTTCCGGGAAAATTTCTCCCCTTCGTTGAAGCTCCATTCGACGACTATTGCGCAGCGGGGGAAGGGGGGGGGGGGGGGGTCGATAAATTATAACTAGCGACTATTGTGTGTGTATACGCGCCGCCGACGATACTGCAAGCTTCAACCGCGTGCATGATCCATGAAATTCAAAGCTCCACTCCTGCACGCTGCTGCATTAATGAATACGAGAACATTTATAGGTCGCGAGCGGTTCGTAACGCGCTTTCCTCGCTCCCACGTCGTTCGGGATTTTCGCTCGCGGGACTATCCCGAATTTCTCTTTACACTTGAAAAAATACGAGAGTGATCCACGACTCTCCGGGACTCGGCAACTCGGAGTGGCGATGCGCTGCACGTGGAGATTGTGAAACACACCGTACGTCGGCCCTTCGAGAGGGGCGAATCCAATTTTCCATTGGGAAAATACGAGGATCCGCTCGGACGTTTACCGTTTCTCTCGCTCGTTCGATATCTCATCCTCGCGCTGTCTGCTGTCTCTTTGAGAGTCGCTCAAAAATCCGATTGTATCCGTGAGCGAGGTACAAGACGTCACTCGTATTTCCCGCAAATCGCTCGACGAAGATTGAATCGTGGGAAGATCGCCGCTCGCGAGGGACGGACGGCGGTGGAAAACGCGTGGGCTTCCCGCAGGTGTACGAATTCGATCGCGGATTCGCCCGTGATACACCGGACTAATTAGTTGTTTCGTCTGACGGGTCGTCCAGAGGCGACATAATTTACGCAATTTGCCTGCTGAAATCCCTTAGGATCCTACGTAATTATCCGGTGTCATACCGCAGGGACGATCAGGCGAAATTGTAACAAGGCCTTCCCCCACGACGGCTAATTTGCAGTTCGTGCTAATAATCGTTGAAAAGTTCGGGATCGATTTGACGAGCCGCAACTTTCGAATTAACACACGCGCGGTTTTCCGTCCCGTCGAGCTTTTCTCCAGCGTCGCCGGCGACACCGGCGGCGGCGGCGACGCTTTCGAGGCGGTTGTGAAGCGAATAACTTAGAAATTCGCTGTAACTTGGACTACGTATCGATCGAAATGTTATCCGGCTGTTGGCGCGATTAGATTGATTACATGTATTCCGAAGTTGAGGTACTTGACATTGAAGTTGACAATTTCAGCCCCTGTTCTTTCGCACTTCGAAGTTTGCGCCTGACCTCTTGAATTTTATAATTAAATTTATGTTTGATTTTAATCTCGAAATTACGTTTGATATTTAACGAAAAACTACGATGATATTAAACACTGATATACCGACACGATGAAAGATTTAGGATTAATAATCGTTCGCACAGGAAAATGTCACTTATACTGCGAAGGAAAATCATTACTCAGTTTGCTTTTCTTCTCTCAAATAATGGTTATCTTGAAAAGAGGGCAAATTTTTCTTTTGAGTAAACGATAACTTGAGCTTTCCTAATATTTATGATGAATATATTTCAATACTGCGTACATCGAGAAAATATATATCCTTGTTTAAGGTAATCATTGCGTTAAAAGAAGAAAGATAAACTGAGTTGTTTTCCTTCTGCAGTGCAAGTAACATTTTCCTCCGTGTTCAATTTCGAGAGTACATCTGTGAAAATTTACAATTTATATAACAACATTCACGACGTAAAGATGAAAGGGAGACCAACGATCGCTTTTACAGTGATTTATTCAAGTTACGTAATTTCGTTGCGACTGAATTTTGCGATTTTACCGTCACTTCTTACGCAACGAAGACGCACAGCTGAGGATTCGACTTTTTGCTGTCGCATTTCCACGTTACATAACCACGATGGTTTAATCGTCGATAATCGAAACGCTGATGACACGCCGGGGGAAAAGCGCACGATGCAAGCGGTCGTACAGGTGATCGTCAACCGATGCGGTTCATTAGTCGCCGGCTCCGTCAATGATTCTGACGTCACTCTAAGGGTCAAAGCGATGCTATTTTTTAATGTCGCATTTAACCTTGAAATTCTTCGTCTCGAGCGCGCGTCATACCGAATCTCGCCTTCCTCCTGCCTGTGCGATTCATCATACGTTGTCTATCGACGCTGGAAATTGCGCTGGAATTCGTTCGTTCGCGTGCGACTCGGCGAAATGCCGCGACTTAACTTCGTTCGATGGCGCGTGCGTCTCCGCTCAAAATTCCGGCGTTGCAATCTCAACAGGATCTCTCTCGCTAGAAGAGCCTTCCGAAATAACAACACGCGCCTCGCGTAAGCTGCGAAACGAGCGCTTAAATTAACACGACGGCGAGAGCCGTATCGCTTTCGCAAACACCGTCCCTCGGCGCGCGAATTTCACTCGTCGAGACGCGAGCTTGCATCGCGCTGGTGTTCCTATTTTTTTCTTATTTCAACCCCTTTCTTCCTCCTTTTCACGTTCTTTTATTTCCGTTCGTCTGTTCTGTTAAATCGAATCTTTTCAAGTAATTCACCCTATGCGCGACCCTTTCTACGACGCTCGCGAGCTTCTGATTCGATCGTAGGGAGGGAGGGAGGGAGGGAGCATCCGGAAACGGCGCTCATCGTTTGACGATCAGGACTGTCCCTCGCGCGTAAAATGGGAATTAGCACGAATAATGGGGAAAGTTGAACCGTGAAGGGTTCGCCGGCTAAAAATACACGGCGAAGGGGAGAATGCTGTATGCTGCGCGCAAGCTCTCCTTTGGGGCGTTTGATGAAAATGTCAGATTTTCAGGCACGCTTTCACGTCGCGTCGCACGTACGTGCGTAGGTGCGTACGTGCGCGCACGAAGCCGCTTATGCAGCGTGCGCAAATACACCGGGAAAAAAAGAGCGTACTGAAAAGGGGGAGCGCGTGCTGGAAATGCGGGAAAATGTGTGACGCGGGGATTTTTGCGCATCACTTTGTTCCGCGCGTTCGCGTCGCTATATCGAAGCGCAGCTTAGGAAATTTTAGAAGAATCTCGCGCATTCGCTCGGAAAGGTGAGGCTCTCGAAGCGCCCCAGCGATTTTTCTCGCGCGCCGCGTACGACTTTCCTCGCGGAAGTTGCGATTCTAACTCTAGATACATACAGAGGGAAAGATTTCTTTGGATTTGATGTACGCATTTCGTTTGGCTTGGCTTTGTTCAATATCAAGGACGTAATTTAATATATCATTCGGTTTGAAAATGTTGCTTTGCCACACGGAAAAAATATTTCGCCGGCGTAGTAAATTGTTTTCCCGCTTTAATCAATGAATGAATAAAGAAATTCTCCGAACGTTGACACGCTTGCGAAAATTCTGCCCGCACGGAATCAATTAATTCTGGGAACTCGTCGTTCTTTGTTTCTGTTCACAGACAGCAACTTTGTACTGGGAAATGCGCAGGTGCCGACGATCTATCCGATCGTCTACTGCTCCGATGGCTTCTGCGAGCTGACGGGATTCGCGCGGGCGCAAATCATGCAGAAGGGTTGCGCCTGCAAGTTCCTCTACGGACCGGAAACGAAGGAGGAGGAAAAGGCCATGATCGACAAGAGTCTGGAGAGCAAGACCGAACTGAAGATGGAAGTTGTCTTTTACAAAAAGAACGGTGAGCCAGCATCCGGTGATACACTAGATGACAGGGCGCTTTCGAATCTGCTCACGAGCGGGGTCCACCCTCTTTCGTATCTTCACGGGTGCGTTACAACGCGTATCGCTCACGACATATCGCAGCAATGCGCGTAATTTGCGTTTCTTTACAATATCCCAAAATCCGAGGCGAGTTGGACAAAAATACTAATGTCCGGTCACGTATATCTAACTGTGGACATTTTTATCGTTTTAATCTTCAAATATGAATATTTAAACTTCCAACGTAGAAAATAATAATAATAATAATAATAATAATAATAATAACATTTATTTATGGAAGAACCCTTTGCACAGTAAAATTTGGTATCTAAATGTTGAAATTTTCTTATGTTACCAACCTTTGATTATTATTTAAATGTAAAATTAATATAGAGCTGATGCGTTACCATTTTCGTGATATTTTCGTGTGTTATATTTATACGTCAGTTTAGTGATTTAATATTTTTCGTGTATAATTTAAAAATGAAATATTATTTCGAGTCCTTTTAATATAATTGCTTACTTAATTCGGTATATTGTGTTTATTATTTCAATATTTTGTAGTCGATATCAATGTGAATAAATATTAGGATAATACAATTTATATATCAGTGTTGATTAAAAAAAGCTGATAATTTTTATGAATATTAATGGTGATACTTTGAACGTTAAAATTTACAAGTTGTATTATTTCTACCCGCAGTAACTGATCATCTTAAAATTTAAACAATACGAAATATATGTGTAACTGAGGAAGAAAACGCGGCGAGGCTGCGCGGAATTGTGACAATTGCGAATTTGCGAACAACCTCGTACATATATAAGAGAAGACGCGAGAAGATGCGGTAGCCTAGAAGCGAGTAGTATCGGGTTACGCTCTTCGGGGTTGAGCGATATTGAGAAACTCGATATTTTCCAAGGGAGCTTAGTAAAGGTGCAAAAGCGAAGAAAAAAATGTGGAAAAAGGAAAAACTAAATGAAGCAATCCCGCCGCCGGCGAAAGGTGTTCTTCTCGTTCCTTTTTCTCACCGTGCTGCAACAAGAATTTATTCTACGGGGCGAAGATAATCGGACGCCTCGCGCGTTACACTTTGCATCATTACATCGAATTGACATCCGAATTCATTTCCACGGCGACGACGACCAGTAATTCGCCCCGTTTGTCAACCGCACAAAAGCCAATGCGATTTAATCAACGTGCGCCTATTTTTTTCGGTTCATCTTGCGCCGGGATATTACAGTGACGGGGAAATCCGTCCAATTAAAACCTTGGATATTATTTTCGCTCAACTAATTCCTCTTTTTGCGCGCTCACGTATGTCACGTCGCAGCGCACGCTCGTTCGCTCGCGTTCAACAAAAACGTCGGATTGCGCGTTATTGCGAAATAAAAACCGGGGGCGAGCGATATTTCAAATTTCGATACTTTTGGGCTTTATTTTATCGATATTTTATATCAATATTTTGTATTTCGACATTGAATTGTATCGATGTTTGAACAGGAATCTTCGTAAAGCCCGTATCAGACTGCGGATTAGGATTGAAGTTGGATTGAAATATGACTAGTCAAGTTTAGTAAACTTAAGATAAGTTTGTTTTTATCCTGATAGGCTGAATTCTGGGATGGATATTTCGAGGCCTTAGTGAATCCTGCATACAGGACGAAAGTGGGCGACAGTCCACTGAAATATTGGCTGATGAATATGAATTCTGAATTAAATTATATACTATTAAAATATTTAAGCGCAATGTTCTCCTTTCCGAATGAACAATTGTTTTCATTAGAAATATCATCACCGAAAATAGAAATTGTATTACAGGTGAACATTTCGAACAGTTGCTATTTTTAAACTGGCATTATTCCGAGATCTCGATCTTAATCCTGTCTCTCCCTCGAGCTTGACAAACCGTATCGTTGATTTTCGGCTTGCAGGGAGCCCATTCGATTGCCTACTCGACATTGTTCCGATAAAAAATGAGAAGGGTGACGTCGTTCTGTTCCTGGCCTCGCACAAAGACATCACGCATACGAAGAACCTTCAGCTCTGTGAGTTGCACGATAGTGGTGAGTTCTAACCATGCTTCTCGCTGCTAAATAACGCGCAAGTGGATGATCGATTTCCCTCGCGGGGACCGTCGGAAGTGCGACTCGAATTTTCGAGCGTTTCTCGAGAACGGTGTTTCTCGCATCGCGGAATCCGGTAGGAATCGGCCTCTTTTGTTTTTTTTTGCCTTGTCTGTCTCTGTCTCCATACGTCTCTTTCTGTTTTCGTATTTCCCCCTCACACAACGCGTGTAACGTTTCACGCTTCGAACACCGCGCAACACGCTGCACCAACATATCATATTTGCAATAACATTGCATATAACAATATCATTATTTGCAACGACGGAGTTTGTAACCGAACATCGATTGAATGGATAATCAATACACCATTTGGAGAAACGCGCGAGAGCGCAACTCTTGGCTTTCGGTCTTGTCTTTCTGATCGTGTCCATACTGCGCGATTGTGCGTTAATAATTTACTGTAAATATCATACATTTATTATATTAAATTTAATAATTATACATATTAAATTTACACACATATATATGACGATCATATGTGTGTGTGTGTATTAAATTATATTTGCCAATTTTAATATCACATTAATACAATGCAATATTTAAGGTTTAATTCTCACAAAATTCGAGCTTAATTGCATTATTGATTTTGCAGAACGCATTTACGATCTTATTATCGTCGCGCCATCTCCAAAAGCAAACGTTACTTCTGATCTGTGATAAAACGAATTTTCTTCCATATTATCATCACGAATGCGATCAGGGAGGATTGATCGGTTACGAACTTCTCGTAGAGGACACTCACGTAGTAACACGAAGCAACTCACCGAGTGCAAAGTTCGTTATTATTAAGGAAGAGATTATGTTTGTTGCGTGTATTTGTACACTCTGCGAATTTTTGCAAATCACACGTAGAGAAACGTAGCGGTTTCACGGTTTGGTGGCTGTGCAAGTCGCGAGAAATGAAAAATGAGCCGGAGGAGGAGATCACGTTTTCGTCGGCAGTTCCTCGCCTGAAAGGCGCACGTATTTGCCTTACCTCTCTAGTTAACGTATCCTGCGCGATTTTTATTCCTTTCGGAGTCGCTTCTCGTATCTCCATGTCATTATGTGTAATCTCTCGTCCGGTAATAGCTCAATTTATAATTCCAGACTCGAATGGCAATATCGACCCTGAGGCACCGCCTTCCAATTACGGTAGAAGAAGGAGTCGCGCCGTCCTTTATCAACTGTCGGGCCATTACAAGCAGGACAATAAGCACAAAATTAAGCTAAACAATGTACGTTTATTCACTCCCTGCGATACGATCGCCGTCTCGCTCACGACGAAGGTTAAATTTAATGGGCAATGGTAATTAATCGATCATGAGAGTTCATTGAGCGCAATATGCAATTCGCGTCCGGGCGGGTCGATAATTAACGCGTCGCTTCGCGTCCGCGACTCGACTTAAATAATAACGATGCGTACTATCCGGCAGCTTGTTTACCGAGCAAACAACCGTTCCATTCTTCGCTGTTTCGGCCTCTTCTCGAATCACTTTGCATTTCGGACGGAAATTTGCATATTTACGTAAACTCGCACCCGAGAATTTCCCTCGGTAAAGGGAAGGAGAGAAACGCTTAAGGTAGTTGATCCGTGATTGGGTACTGTTAGAAAGATAATGGTTGATACAACACGAAAAAGCTCGACGAATCTGTGCTAAGTGTTTATTTTCTAGTATCCACCAACATAAATACTAGAATTTCGAAAATATAATACTGCTAAATTTTACGGGTTAGCTGTCATATATTTCAACCATTATCGAAAAGTGTATATTTTACATATCAATTTCCGGAAAGGTAGATGGTCGACGATCTTGTAATTTTTTTAAATAATATTTTTATAATCTTCGCACGCCGTACGGAGGTGACGGGCGAGAGGAAATCCGGCGACGTGCGCTCGGGAGTGCGACAAATTCTTTCTTTTACATTGCGTATCCTTCTAGACGCTTCTGCATTCCACTGCACCGCCTTTACCGGAATACAAAACGTCAGCGATCAAAAAGTCGCAATTTATTCTTAGCCATTACGGCGGCTTCAAATCCTGCTGGGACTGGTTGATACTCATCGCGACCTTTTACGTGGCAATAATCGTTCCCTATAACGCGAGCTTCATCAACACCGATAGGCCTACGATGGTCAGTGACGTTGTCGTCGAAGCGCTCTTCATTACCGGTGAGTATATATATATATATATATATATATATCTCTCTTTCTCTCTCCTACCGCCAATTTTCGACCCTCCTCTATGTATGTGCCCTTTAGACCTCTTTTTATCCCTTCATCCCGCCGATGAGATTCTCGTTTAATCCGTGATCCTCCGGTTCACGGTGATTCTTCGCGCGAAGCGTTCCCCGTGCCAGGTAACGCGACGGTGGCGGCTTTTTAAAGAATAAATATGATCCCGAGGCGTTTTTACTCCGACCTGGCGATTAATCACGTCCGAAGAATCGCGCCAAGTTGAATCGTCGGTGCGTTTCAATTTCACCGGCTGCGAATGAACAACACTCGAGTCTCGGTTTTCGATTTATTCGCGAACACGCGCGCGCGCACGCTCGTGCCTTTTCGCGAAAAAAATCCGTCCGAGGATTTCCATCACCAGCGGAATATCGATTGCTCCTTCTCTCTTTTTCTCTCTCTCTCTCTCTCTCTTTCTCCGTCTCTCCCTTCGCCCTCTCGTAATAATTTCACCGGGAAGGAAACAAGAGGAGAGGCCGTCCTTTCCTCCTTCGATTGGCAACATGTGGAGAGCTCGTTAGGCTGAAACTGAGAGCGGCGATCGGTTCACCCTATTTTTCCCCCTTAACGGCGGGATCTCGATTAACCTCGCTCGGGGTGACTTCTCTCGGTTGCGGACGACGCGACTCCCGCATCAATTGATTTGTCGTGCCGCGATGCGCGGACCGCCCGCGCCTGAATGAACGTCGCGCTCGTGCTCTGCGTCTCAAGCTCTACGACGAAGGGGAATCCTACCGTCAAATATACACCAGGCATCGTATGTGCCTTAACTTTGTAATTAAGGTTGCCTATGTGCGATTTTGAATTTTGCATGTATGTATAAGATCGGAGTTGGGAATCGCAGTAGTAAACTCTGGTAAAACTGGTAAGATGAAGATTTGTTTTAGGACATTGAATTAACTATATTTCAATAATGATAATAATAACGATGATGATTACGATAATCATGGCGGTAGTGATGATTGTGTACGGGGAGAAAAATATTAGATTTTCGTAGCTATAAATATCGTAATGAAAGAATTATAGTCTGGGGAAGCATTTTTCTAGCGACTCAGGTAGCAGGATGGCGTCTAAAGACGGTTTTAATTATGACGTTAGAGACGTCATTAAGACGTTATTAATACGTCACTTAAGGTCACCCTGCTACTTGGGAAGTGTCGGTGATAATAATCTTATATGATATTATTATCAGAGGAGAAACTTTTGTAGTACGGCCCCTCTTAATATCTTCGCTATTAAGTGACGAATTCTAACGATCACTTATGGAATCATTTAGTAGGTAACTGCTGTTACGCAGTGGCGTTGATATGCTAATAGACAATAGTCGGCATTTGTTATCGAGGTATACATTAATTTGCGCTTGGTGTACTTTTCCTTCTTTGAGCAATCGAGCGTCAATGAAACCATTTCGTTCCTCGGTAGCGAATCGCAGAAAGAAGTAGCTGGAAAACGCGCGTCTGGAACGTAAATCCGCCATAATTGTTTAAATTAAACAAAGCCGCTTTAACTTATCACCGACAGCGGAAAGAAAGCTCTTCCAGCGGCGAGACATATCGATTATGAAGGAATTTAACGAAGGACGAGTAGGGAGGGAAAAGGCTTTCGGAAAAACGACTTTCCATACTGAGCTTGCACAAGAAAAAGGGAAACACAGAGAAAGAGAGAGAGAGAGAGAGAGAGAGAGAGGCTTTCGATATCAAGTTCGAATCATATAACGTCGATCCCTTTGTATCATTTTTTAATCGGCCACAATGTCGCTCGTCGACGGTCGATTGATTTTAAAACTCGACACGAATGCGCTCCGACGATATTAATCGCGCGTATATCGCATGCGCTATGAATTCTGATAAATAAACAAACGAACATTTTCAATATTCGCTAACCGTTCCAGTTTTCGATCTCTAAGTGCCCAATGAAATTGTGTTGTCGCGAAGCCGCAAACGAGATTCAACAGGAAATTCGGCGTTGATAGTCGAGATACGGGATCATCGGAACGTTTCGTTTTTTTTATCGTTGCGCGCATACAGATGCAGGGCACGAAATATTCTAATAACGACCGGCGTAACACCGTTATCGTCGCAATTTTTGCCAGCGATTGCTCAATAACGCGACGTTATTTTTTCACCGATACGTGAAACGCTACGCGAACGCAACCGTCGGGCTTTCGCCGTTACATTCGTACATTATCTGTACAAATTATTACATTATCTGTATATTTGTACATTGCCGTTACGTTTGTACATTATCATAGATATTATGACGGAAATAAGACGACGATGCTCTTGATGAAAAAAGAAAAAGAAGGAGGAAAAGTAATCGAAAAAAAGACGTTACACATCGGCGAACAATGTAACGGAAATTGCGACGGCTCGTTACTCCCTGAGTTGACGATAACGAGTCGCTTTTTCAACAGGTAACGAGTAACCGTAACGAGTTACTTGGAAGAAAAAGAGTAATTTTCCCGGTCCCTCCGGGGGTATGTAATATAGATTACAATGTAGAATATCGACGCGTGCGTGCGTGCTAAAGCGCTCGCTCCCTCGCGCTACATACTCGGCCTGCGCGATATGTAAAATATCGACGATCCGAAACTTTTCAACGAGATTACTCCCGGATAAGTGGACGAGGAACGCGAATTTCGCGGCCGAAATCCAATTTGCAAACGAGATTAACAGGCATTCATCGCACAAAGCCGAAGTTTCGCCACGGCCGCTTGATATCTGCGTTTGCGCGAGCGGAAACTCGACGGGACAACAAGCGGGAAAGCCAGTTTCTCCACTTAGCTCGGGGCTCGGTTTAAACTATCCCCCCATTTGCATTCGCCCGCAATCGCGATTATTGTCGCTTCGGAAACGCTACTTTGCTCACCGTGCCATGCAACGCATTGACGGAAAAAAAAGAGATCGATCGATCGACGGTGCGGCGTGAAAGAGTGTTCATTCATAATGTTCAGTCACGGCGATTGGCCGCGATGATCGGCACTGTGACGTCATCGTGTCTCGTTAATTTGATAATTCGATAACAAAGAAGATATAAGTTGGCTCATAGGAAGCTGACGTAACTAGCTAATGAATATATATTCATCGTCAGTTGCATTTATTTGCCGTACTTTTGGTTACTCAAGTTTTACTCAAACTAAGGTGAATGTCCCATTTAGTGACAAAGTAACCTCGTCGTGAAAATAAGTCAATCAACTAGCGCATGATAAGCCAGAACCGCAAATATTAATCATTTTATCTCTCAAAAGCGTAAAATCAAGATAAAGTACGCGAAAAAGAAATGCGCGACTGTTCTCTCCGAGTACATTTTAGGATCCGGTTTCCATCACTTTTTTCAATCCTTTATTCGTGCGATTTAATTATCTTAATCTAAACTTTTCCCCCGTCTTAACTACTGAAAGTAAAATTGATGTTCAATTAAGTGAGATTTACAAATTAGCAAAGTTTCGCTCGCTTGATTTATTATTATTTATACCTCGATGGGGGGAACTGGCTCGCTTCTCCCAAACTTGAAGCACTAATAGATTTTTTTATCAGTATCGGCGGCGTTGACCTTACGGTCTACCTCAATTAGCACCTCGATGAAAGTTCCAAATCCACTTAACCGTAGAGAATCCGTCGCGATGATCTCTTTTAAAATCCCTCCTCGTTCGTAATTCGGTCCAGTGTTGGCGTTATATCAAATTCTCGAGCATTTGCATTTCCATTGACACGGATATCTTCTCCCTCTTCCATCCCGCCATTTCTCCCGTGAAAAATCGCAATCCTCTAACACGCACGTCGCGAATGAATACTTCATTATTCTTCCCCAGATATCGTTTTGAACTTCAGAACAACATACGTGAGCAGAAAGGGCGAAGTAGTCAGCAGTAGCAGAAGCATCGCCGTGAACTACGTGAAAAGTTGGTTCTTGGTCGACCTCGTGGCGGCATTGCCGTTTGATTTTCTTTATGCCTCAGACGTTTACAGCGGCGAGGTTAGTATTTTCCATTCTCCGGGCAGGTGTGTGTATGTGTGTGTGTCTGCGTCGGCTTGTTAGCCTCTTCTGCAAAGAGCAGTGGGTGATTTATAAAGAGCGAGATTGCGGTAACTTCCTCTTTTCCATAACGTTGAATTTGTAATCACCGAGGGAGATTGATTTCAAAACTTCCCCCTGCCCCGGCGGGCTATCCTTTTGATACCCGATCTAATTTAATTTCTCGCGAACAGACGGATAATGGTGATCATTTTCAACGATCATTCAGTTGCATTATCGAACGAGCGGAATATTCCGCCCCCAAAGTTGCGCGATAAATATTGAGGGCTGATTAGTACATTTTTTTCTAACTTTTCTTATTTTCGAGTATGTAAAACTAAAAGCATTATATATCTTGAGAAATACGCTGTGCAATCTAAAAATGGTTATTGTAACACCACTTATTATATATGCAGCGTCATCGTTTGTCATTTTAGAGCTGTATTAAAGATACTTACCTGCCCCGTGTACTAGCCCCCGGTCTCTCCTGTTGAAAAATCCATGATCTTCTCCACCAGAGAACTTTCGGAGACTTTGTGCGAGTTCGGAAATGCTAAATGGGCGAGATAATTAATTAATTATTCTCGCATCAAAGCGCGTAATCATCGCTAATTACGCGCTACGTAGGAATATGCTATTAGCAAATTACGCGTAGGAAAACTTTAAAGTAGATGCTTACCACCCGGCCCCCTCACTCTCTGCCGATCTCCCTCTCTGTCTCTGCGCACCGATCAAGTGCAGAAGTGAGATTGAAAAATGCGACACCAACGGTCTACGCAAAGATCTAAATCGGATTATTTCGAGCGTTTTCGCGACGATGCGGAGAAATATATACCGGTCGGGATGGTGTATTTGGTAAATGTTACCGCGTCCCGATATCAGTTTTGCGGTGATTAATAATTCCGAGCTTCCGCCGGCCCGGCGAAGTGAAGTTAAGCTGATTAATTCGTTCCGTGCGTAATGGGAAATCGATATATCTTGTGTCAAAATGTATTCTAGATTAATATACAATTTACATGAAACGGTTTCGCGAGAGAACGAGAGAGAAAGACAGGGAGAGAGAGAGAGAGAGAGGGGGACACAAGCGGAGAGAGTTCTCATAAAAGCGGGTGCGCGCGGGCCTCAGCACAACCATGTCCGGAATTATATGTTCATTAATTTCCACCGAATACGCGAAATAAACGAAATCGGCTTTTCCCCTCGCTCGGCCGGCAAAATGTGTCGGTTGAAATTGTCGGCGATTTGACGACTTGCGTACCGATTCCGCTTGGGATTTCGCGGGCGTAAATTGACGAAATAACGGACTCGCGAGCCCGCTTATTCGTACCGCAGGAATCGGCGCACAGCAACATACACCTGGTGAAGCTGACGCGGCTGCTGAGACTGGCGCGTCTCCTGCAGAAGATGGACAGATACTCGCAGTACAGCGCGGTCATCTTGACGATGCTCATGCTGTTCTTCATCCTGGTGGCGCACTGGCTCGCCTGCATCTGGTACGTCATCGCCGAGAAGGAGAGACTGCGTAACGACAAGGATTGGGATCTCGGTGAGTGCCTCGGCGGACGAATCCCTGAACGTTCGCGCGCGATCGCTCGGCGAAAGTAATTCGAAAGTAATTCGCAAGTGATTCAATCTCGCAGGCTGCCCTCGAAATTTCCCCGGGCGAAATTCCACGCGGAAAGTAGAGCGACGATCGGGTCACTCGAATTCGAGTGACTTTTCATTCATATGGAATGAATTCTCCGCGTTGGAATCGTCGGGCGAATATTTTCCCACGAGATTGAAGAGTGAAACCGATATATCGGGTTGTGTGCTAAATAATCTCGAATTTTTTCAGGTGTAATAAAACTATTGTGTTCTTGCGCCATTGTAATTCTGTGAAGCAATGTAGGTGAAGGATGACAGAAGATCGTAGATCAAAAATTATAAATCGTTTTATATTACGGTAACAAAAATACAATTGCTTCGTTTCGTCCGGCGAAAATTCCGAAATTAATAATCATGATAATAATCTCGTTAAATGAAATCTCGTTGAAATAATCTCGTTAATTCTCGTTAGTAATTAGTAATTTTCATTTACGAGAAAGAACTCTTCAGTATACATTAAAGAAATGTACACCGTGCGGGACACCTCGTACGTCAGAGAGTAGCTGATAGTTCTTTTCTTCCGCCGATTCTTTCGAGGCTAAGCAAATGTCTATATATCGAGAACAATCTGAGAATGGGCTTTGTGAGAGAGTCGTGAGGATCGCGAGCGGTACGCCATCCATCTCTCGACAAAGTGAGAAAGAGCAGAAGAGAGAGAGAGAGAAAGAGAAGAGAGCACGTCCGCACATCCAGTGCAGTGGATCGCACGGGTGGATTTTCAGCCACGGAGATCCCATCGACATGAGAGAGCTCATGCATGAGATTTGTAGGCATTGCTTTCCGATAGTTGTCGGGAAACTGTTTTACCACGAGGAGATAGAGAAACCTGTAGCACGGATGGAGACGCGGAATTCGTCGTTGCCGTGACGGTGAAACTCTGATAGAAATCGTAGATGCTCTTCTATCTTATCTGAAAAATGTAAAGCCCCGGCGGGAGCGCACGAAAATCAATGTACTCGCGCGAACGCGATCGACGTTTTTATTGAATTATACGGGGAGTTCCGTACGATAAGGGCGGGGTCGCTATTTTTCATGGAAGATGTGAGGAAAAAACGGCTGGACCGGCAAAATCCGCGGTCACCCTCGGTCAAAAAAATATGATGTCCGCTGACTAATAAATTACACGTTGGCGCAAATGAATGCCTAAAGGTACGAGTCCGTCATTGAAGCATATAAATACGTAAACAAGAGCGTTCCACTTCTGCCGCATTATTTTGACAAATTTCTCGGCCAATTTGGAGTCGAATTCTTCTCTAGCAAAAATACAGAGGTCCGATAATTTTCGAATTATGAGCTGTCGAGGGAAAAAGAGGGCAGAACTTCTCCGCGAGCTGAGCTTCCACAGATACCATAACTGCGTTCTTCAGCTGTTTCAGGCGGTGGTGAGTTTGCTTTATTAAACTTTCCCCGAAGGCTTGGTTAGAATGATACGAAATGTTAAAGATTGAACAGTCGCGAGGGGTGATTACCTGCTTCGCCGTTTTCGCCGAGGAAAAATGTCGTCGTCCTCGAATCTTTTATTAAAAAATAATGCGCGCTGGAAATGGGACATCCGGCGAATGAAATGATGGAACCTCGCTAAATTTTTAAGCGTCCCTCGAGAGAGAGGACGTTCATCTCGTAGACGACTTTTCTTCGAAGAGCAGGTGACACAGTAAGTGTGAAACGTATGCCGAGCAGCGTCCATGATGAATGGCGGGCTCGCCTTTGTCGTTGAAACGCCCCGCACGAGAGGCAACACGAGCCGGAGCGCTTCTCGTGGAAAGCGACATTCCCGGATGAGCGTCGGATACCGGGAACGCTGGCGGAATACCGCAAACGTAACTACGCACCGGAGCTCCGGAATCGTATAATTGACGTGTTCCAGGCTGGATACACACCCTGGCTGAGCGGTTGAAGATATCCGTGCAGAACGTCACGCACACGGAGAGCTACATTACGGCGTTGTATTTCACTTGCAGCAGCCTGACTTCCGTAGGATTCGGCAATGTTTCGGCGAACACGTTCTCGGAGAAGTTCTTCTCCATCTGCACGATGCTCATCGGAGGTAAGTGCATGAAATTAATGGTTCTTGCTCGATGAGTTCGTAGAGATTTTGCGAGAAACTCGAAGCCGATACCTCCATCCCGAGTCGAAATTTTGGTCCTGTATATATGTTAAGCTTTTAATTCTACAACGTGGTATAGATAATTTGTTATAATAGATATATATTCTATATAATAGAAACTTAAGATGGTAAAATAGATTCGATTTCAATTTTAATGTTTTTTTATTAATCTATAAGCCGTCTAGTATAAGTAGGCGCAAACTATCCTTAAGAGTAGCGTGAGAGTAGCATTAAAATTTCGACTTAGTATCAGACAAAATTTCTTTTTTTCTAATTTCTTCGATGACTTGCTATCGGAGAAAAAAAACAGTCAATGCATCTTTGGATAATGTTATGCCCTATAAAATCTATAAGAAATTTTTCATTGTTTTAATGTAATCTTTATATGTCTTTTTTTCGTTTTAATATTTTTTATGTTGCCATCTACGCTTCTGCTTAATTTTGTATAGTTCTTATTATTCCTCTCTTTTTCTTCTGCCTGTATTTCTTTTCCTTTCTTCTCATTTTGATAAATATTAAAAAAAGGGATAATTTCCCGTGAATAAATAAATAAGACGCATCAGCCTCCGCAAAAATCCCTGCGAACTTATTGAAACTTATCGAACGGCCCAATATTACTCGCACATAAGTCGTACGATTAATTAAAAAAAACTGACGGACCCATGAAATATATTTCATCAGCGTGCGACGAAAGTGCGTGACGATCGGAGCCGCGAACATTAGTCCGTCATTCGCTCGAAATCTCTCGGGAGGATGAAATCGTGATGAGTTTTCGTTTCCGAACTTTTTTCAGCTCTCATTTCCACCGATCTTTCCGATCCTCCTCGCTCTCTCTCTTTTTTTTCTCCCTCTCTAGGTGCGCTTTCCCCTTTAATTATCTTAATTCAAACCTCTTTCTTCCCTCGGCTACCACGAGTAAAAAATTAATCCCTCGCGCGTTCTCGCCGACCCGATCGAAATCCCGATGAAATCGCGGCTGTTATCTTTCAACGTTCAATTAATTCACCCTCGTTTTTCCCTCCGGGGCACCGGCGAGTCTACCACGAACTCGGACCAACACGAAGCGTTTCCCCGCGATCATTGAATAACATATTCCGACAACATCGTCACGCATTCAGCAACGGGTCGCGGGAGCGCGGGAACGGCGGCGGAGGGGGAGGGGAAGCAAGCACCATCGCATTGTACGCATACGATTTTACGTTCCAGCCTTGATGCACGCGGTGGTATTCGGCAACGTCACCGCGATCATTCAAAGAATGTATTCGAGGCGGTCGCTGTACCAGACGAAGCTGCGCGACCTCAAGGATTTCTTGGTGCTCCACCAGATCCCGGAGGAGCTTAAACAGCGGATGCAGGATTACTTTCAGACCATGTGGTCGCTGAATCACGGCATCGACGTGCACGAGGTAGGTGAAGTCGGACACGAGCGCGATTAGATCCGCGCGTTGCGCGATTAAAACGCGCGAACGCTGTAACATACCGCCGGAACATAATTGCGGAACCGAGTCATCATGTGCGTATTCGGTTAATTCGGGACGACCTTGTATCTTCACGTGGAAGAGAAAGAGAGCTCGCAAGCGATATATCGTATTAATAACAAATATTAAGGCTCAATGATGAGGAAAACGAATTAAATGTAGGCTGTTAGGCAGAAGGAATTAAATTTCGACATATGGATTTCGACATACTTTAATCCATGATAAAAGAATAAGGAACTAGGATTAGGGATATTGTGGAAACTCTATTCCTTATGATTTATGTGTGCTTTGCAGCGAGAAATCAACATCGAATCGACGTCAAATCGATGTCAAATTGACGTCGGTTCGATGTAATTTCGACAATTTCGACGTCGATTTGACGTTGATACGATGGTTCATTTCTCGCTGGGTCAAAGGGCTTGATGGTCGATTGGAAATTTCAAATATCTAACGATCATCGATATACAAATAAAAGCCAGTTTGAATCGATAGTTATCAAGAAAATGATAAAAGTGTTAACGACAACATTAGAGGTTTATTAGAAAATATTTAATAATTCGTGTAATGTTGTGTACGTTGTTGGAAAACATTTGATATCACAATAGTTTTATACTCAAATCTTAAACATGGTTTGGAAGAAATTAAAAATAGATGTTGAAAATAGGTCATTAACCATAAGAAATATGTGTAGAAAGCGTCATCTTTAGTTACAAGTATCTCAACTTCGAATGGTCGTTTTCTAACTTTACAGACCTGTAGATATAGTATTGCCATCAATCCTCAGACTAGGTAGGAGAGGACGAGGGGAGGGGAGAGGCGGGAAAAGGGTGGAGGAGTAACGGAACGAGGTAAATTTTGTTAATAATCGTTCGTTGTTGCGGAACGTGCGCTGCCGCAGACGCTGAAACAATTTCCCGAGGAGCTGCGCGGCGACGTCTCGATGCATCTGCATCGCGAGATCCTGAGCCTGCCGATATTCGAGGCGGCGTCCCAAGGCTGCCTGAAGTTGCTGTCGCTCCATATCAGAAACAACTTTTGCGCCCCTGGCGAGTTTCTCGTGCACAAAGGCGACGCGCTCTCCTACATCTATTACCTGTGCAACGGTTCCATGGAAGTCGTGCAGAACAGTATGGTGGTCGCGATTCTCGGTAAGCCATGAAGAGATCAACACTCGGCCGTATCATACGGTCGATCGATCGAGATTCATTTTTCGCAACGAACAGTAGCAACGACGCGGTTCCGCTACAACAGCAAAATTTTCCCGCGTGACGTACGTGACATCCATTCCTTCTTATGTCCTCAGCATTCGGACATTCTTCCGCTTCCTGTTATTTCTGTTCGTCTCCTTCTCGCAATGTACACGATTTCCCTATCTGTATCATCCTTTCGAATTTTCCCTCTAAGAACAGAGAACATTCTGAGAAGGCTCACCCAAGAAATGAAATTAAAAGCCTCTCCGGTACACCTTTCCCTTCGATGTTGTTTCAATCTGGAAGATTGAAACGCAACAATTTTCCCGACGAACCGATCCAAATCGGCTGACGATTTTTCGCGCAAAAGATAGTCGCAAGATTCGCGGGCGTGTCTTTTCAAGGGAAGGGCGACCTGGTGGGCTGCGACATAAACGTGCACCTGCAGCACGGTAATAACGGCGGTGGCACGTCGAGCTCCGGTTCGGGTGACGTTGTGGTGAAGTCTAGCTGCGACGTGAAGGCGCTAACTTATTGCGATCTCAAGTGCATACACATGCAGGGCCTGGTGGAGGTGCTGAGACTCTACCCGGAATACCAGCACGAATTCGCACACGATATACAGCACGATCTTACGTACAACTTGCGAGAGGGATACGAAGCGGAGGTAATTAACCCCACGTTACTCCCACGGGAGGTAAGGCGGAGATGGTGTAAAAAGCGTCAGGTGTCGCCTCGGTTGTAATGTTATACACCGGGGGATGTGTAACTAGCTAGCTATCGCACCCCGGCAAGCGATCAAAGGGGCTTTATGACATTTAAATATTTTTGAGAGGGAAGAATATTTTTAAAGCTCACGCGCGTGGGTACGTTGTGATACCATGAAAGCACCGGTACTAATATTGAGACGGATATTTGATCGAGAATATTGAAATCATTGGTGACATCAATATCAGAACAAAAATATCGATATTAATATTGGTATCGAAAACTCAAAAAAACTTAAAATTAGAGGAAGTACCAAAATCAGGGAAGTATTTGTCTTGCGATTCTGAAGGGTTTCATACGCTTAATAATTTTATTATGGTATAAATATACTTCCACTTTCCGCACTAAACTTCTTACGGTTTGTGATTTGAAAACCTTAGAAAGGATGCTAAGGTTCCCATGTCCTCGCTATGACTGTCCTTGTTTGAGCACACTGGAAGAAAGAAAGTGCTATATTCAAGTAAAATTTATTTAATTCGAATAAAATAAACTACTTCAATACTTCTTAGTAAATATTTATTTAGACGTAGCAAGTTTTTTTTTTCAGTGCGGTAATATCACAATGTCCTTATGCGCGCGTGGGGTGAAATTATTCGCAACGACCGAAAGGATAGACAGGACGGATGAACTGATGTATGGACGCGCGGGGAAAGTGTTATTATGCGCGTGTAATGGCGTTTCGATGTTTATCTGGACGCGTTGTACGCTGGAAAGGGAGATAACGCGACCCTTTAGTGCGCGATGCTCTCTCTACGGACTCGGTGTCCTTCATCTGTTTGGCGAATTTATCTGAATTTGCCTCTCCGTTTCTCGCGCGAATTTCAGCAGGAGTCCGACGTGAACGGCCCGTCGTTGACACTTCCCTCCATCAGCGAGGACGACGAGAATGCCGTTGAGGAGGGCGAGTCCTCGCCCTTATCGCCGCCGAACAAATCACCACTTCACACATCCTCGAGCCCGCGGCATGCCAAATTCAGGTAAGACGTCTAGACAAGGACGACGTGAATCTGTCTCCTCCGGTCTGTCGCGATATATCTACTGGATAAATCCTAAGTTAAGCACTTCATAGCTCCGGTCTACATGAGTAGACCATTGGCCAATGTTGAGTCAATGAAGTATGCTATTGGAGTATCACCCACACCATATCCTAGTCTTTTTCTACAACTGTCAACGTCTGTTTGAGAGAAGAGAGCGTAAATTTTAACTTGAGGCTGTAATTTTTTTTAATTCGCAAGATCAGATATCTCGACGAATTTCACCGAAGCCAACGAATCTCTTTTTTTTCTTTTTATTTCGTCCCGTATCGCTGGGCGTATAAACTATTAGTAGAGACGACCCAAGGCGAGAGAGAGAGAGAAGGGGGAGAAATAAAATCATGGGAGGTTCTTTTATAAAATATGAAAAAAAGAAGAAAGTCGAAGCGGCGAAAGCGCGTTAGATAAACGATGGCGGGATAAAAATTTCGTCGGCGCGGCGTAAAAAGGGCGCGATAATGGATAGCCCGTGAGCGCGAGGGAAGGAGAATGAGAGACGAGAGGGAGGGAGAAAAAAAAAGTTAATCTAGTGTGTGCGTCGGTACCCGACGCTTTCGCTTTTCCACCTTTTCCCGACTAAACATTTTCTCCCCGCGTTAGCCTACTTCTTCAAGGGCAGAAGAGCGGCGGGGGCGCGTCGTCGCTCCGCCTGCAATAATACAGACCCGAAGCGAAACGCCGAAAGTTCCCGCCGTCACTTGTAAATATAAAGACAATCCAACCGAACCGTGATCGGCGAGGCGGCTTTCATTCTCTTCTGCGCGACTCGGGATGTATTTCGTCGATTGTATCATTTGAGTGCAAGGAGAAAGTAAAGTAAATAAGAGTGACAGGAGAGGATCACGGATTCCCGGACAAACGCGCTCTCACGATATCGCGTCTGCAGCTCGTTCCCGAAGAGGAAGAGGGAGGTCCTCGCTTACGGGGGGGAGTGGGAGGAGAAAGCTAACGCGATTTTCCGCTCGGCGAGGCCCGGGGTTTTTCCCGAAAAGTCGAGCGTTTTACTCGGCCCTCGGATCCCGTCCCGTCCCTCATCCTGTCGGCCCTTCGTATCGCCGGCGAGTCGCGTCGGCGTCGTGTAATCCACTTTGCGAATTCCTTACTGGGGAATTTTTCGAGACATCGAACTCACGTTCACGTGCACGGCACACGACGGATAAGATTGATCTCGTTTGGGCGCATCAGGGAGGATTACAGGGAAGGCCGACGCGCCGGGAGGGGAGTGCTGGTGCGAGGAGGCAGGGCGGCCCAGGTGATCGCCCAGGAGTCCATGGAGGAGCATATCCGAGGATCGGTCGAAAGGTTGGATAATCAATTTTCCACGCTGCATCAGGACGTCGCGACGCTCAGCTGCGAGGTATGCCGGGGATTGATGGTGACCGGCGATTTTTATACGTGTATATATGTTATTAAATGATACACCTGTCGCAATTGTACGTATGCCGAAATCTTCTCGAAATCTCTGATATCTTTTTCTACAAATCGTCGATTGTTTACGAGTTGCGCTTTATTGATAGCAATACTGTTCACTAATATTTTCTGAGATTACATTGATCATTCCGCGTTGTTGTGATATTTCATAAACACAGAAGATAACTTCTTAAAACCGCAGTTGAGCGGGAAATATTTAGATTGAAAATGCTTATTATATATACAAAATTGAATAAAATTAAAGGCATCGAATTAATTTGTAAATCTAATATTATACGATGCTTAAAACGCAGGTAGATTTTTGTCCCAAATTTTCCGCCTCAAAAAAGCGGTCTTCGACAGTTTATTATTATTATTGTTGTTATTATTCAATATTTTTCATCACTTTTCTTACTCGTAATTTTTTTATTATTTTTATTTAAAATCTATCCGTTGTTGTAATTAAATTATTTAATCACAATCGTGTAAATACAATTTAATTTACGCAATTTATGTACAGTTTAATTTAATTTATATTCAGTTTACATTTGATTATTATTGCTGTTATTATACCGATGCCTCCCCAATTTTTCATTGCATCCCGCAGCGTTGGAGAATTATGGAAATTCATGGAAACAAAATATCGAAGAAAAATATAACGAATTATTTGATCGAGAAGAAAGCTCGCGAAACGAGTAACATCCCCGTAGCTCGCGAACTTGATCGAGAGGACCGCGAGATTGAAAGTCGTACCGTTCTGCTCCGGCAGGTGCGCAACGCCATCCAAGCGTTGCAGATGCTCGCCTGCTCACCCCAGAGTAACCCAAACCTGCCGACCCCGGCGAATCGCGGCAGCGGGGTCCTCGCTAGGAGCTCGTCCCATCCGCCGGACGCGATTTGCTGGAACCCGCCGGCGAGGCTGATCGACGCATCGACGCAGACCGACTGGCCGGTCGACCTGCTCGAGGCATGGGTGCGCGCGAATCCTCACAGGGTTCTCAAGATCCTGAATCTCGATCCGGACCTGCTCCTGAGGCTACATCCGCCCTCGCCTACGCCGTCGCCGTCTTCGCCCCCGCCGCCCCCGTACGAACCCCTGTCGCCATTGGTGGCCACGCCGCAACAATCGCCGTCGCGATCTCTAACGACAGGTAATTACGTTCTGAATGCTAGATAGGTCTCCTCGTTAATGCTCCGGCATTTGTAAGCGAGATCGCTGGGAAAGGGGTGAAGGGGGGGGGGCGACGTCTCGGGGATTTATTGACGAGATAGCTTGTAACATTGAGACGCTGTCTCGTTAAAGACTTGGGGCTTACGTAAAATGGGGAAAGGTGCTCTCCGTCGCGATGGAAAATAACGGACTTTATTGTAGCTGTGCTTCAGAAGAAATCAAGTAGTTTGTATACCCAAGTGTCCCGGTATTCTAAGATCGACGCCGGTAATGATACAGAGTCATCCGAGTTCACTGAGAAGAGGAGACTTAAAAATTTATTTGTGAAATATAAGATTTCACGGTACGTGAAATATAAGATTTCACGGAACGTTTGTTTAAATACGGCGAAATAAACTTTTATTGATAGCAGATGTGTTTTAGAACATATCGAAAGCGGTTCACGGTAGTTACAGCTATTTTGCGATTTTAGGGCCATAAAGTGTGCCTTTCGCTTTTTCATGAAACTCATATAGAGCTACTTGCTCGTTTCTGCGGGTTGTTCGGGCCTTCCGCGAAACTTGCAGATGTTTCCTCTCGTTATCGAAACTTTCGTTTCGCGACTGCTTCTTACGCGCCGCTCAGGTTAAACTCATATAAGTCGGCCAATTTTCGGAATCTTAACATGCTACAGGGCTTAAAATGTTCGCAAGATTTCAGCTTTTAGGAAAACGCGAAAGCAAAAGTCGATTTTTTGATATCTACAACCCGAGAATCCCCTTTAAAGAAGATAGGCTCCTTAATATCGTATCACGTTAATCTTGATTATAAATCCTGATCATGATGCAGATAGAGAGAAAGAGAGAGAGAGAGAGAGAAAGGGAAAATCCGTCGCTTCATTTTTTAATCCGCGACGGAACATAATGGATGTTGATATAGCGAGTTAATGCAACTTTCTTTATTTTTCGCCAAGGATTAAAACATAGAATGATAAATTTCTCTCTCTTTACCCTCCCACCCCCCTCACTCTTTTTCTACTCTCTTCAAACCGTAATGCGATAACTTACCGCTTCCATCGTGAACCCATTTAAAAAAGCGCGAGTTACACACGAAATGCGAGAGAAGGCGTTCCTTACGGAAGCAAGGTGTGCGCGTTTTCCCCTTCCGCCGAGGGAAATACCCGGCGTATCACGGAAGAGACGCATCCCGCGCGGATCGGGCGAGTCCGAGAGCCGTGCGATGCGATTTACCATCGCGGCCACCGCGTCTCAGCCGTTCTCGCGAATAGGAATATTCTTTTGAGGTGAAAATACTCCCCGGTGGCTGGCGGGAGTTTCTCCCGTTCCGTTTTCGCGCGGCGAACGCGTGACAGGTGGAGGCAAGAGAGAAGGAGAGAAATCACGCTGTGGGGGTCGCGCTCCGTTCCCACAAGAGATTTCCCGGGTGAAGGGTTACGCGCGGGGGTACGCTTGAACTTCCGAAGGGGAGTCCTTTGGCAAAGGGTACACCTTTCACCTTATCCTCCTACACGCAACGTCCCCTCGCGCACAAGTCACTCGCATATTTGTCACGTATGCGTATCTCTTTTCCGGACGGTTCTACACCGCGACATTTCCTCTCGCGCTGGAAATATCCCCAGTTCGAAATTTCGAACAAGTTCGCTAAAAGGCGATAGAAATTATTTACATGACAATCATCGCAATCGCGACTCGACTCTCCGGTCGAAAGTACGATGCTGAGTTTTTATAAGATAAATTCCTTATGAGAAGTTTGCTAGTCTTCCTCATCGCTTCCGTCGTGTCTGGATATAATGAGGTGTGATAGGAGATATGATAGGATATTATATGATATGAGACGGTGTGATGTTGTATGATTAAAAGTAGCAATCAAGATTCGCACAATATGATACAAGTTATACGATAATTTGATGTGATATGATTAAAAATAGCAATCAGAATTCATATATGATGTAAATGAAATAATGATTTGATATAATATGATATAAAAGTAGCGATAAAAATTCGCACATCATATGATACGATCCAAATTATCAATTAATATTAGTATGATATAACATGACATGCCAAGCTGTCAAAGTGACAGATTATCTGAGTCAGATAATGAAATTATCTGATCAGATCAGCAGCCACAATGAATACGAATATCCACTATACGAATAATGAAAAAGGGCCAATGAGCATTGGTTTGTCAAATCTTAAGGCTTTATGACAGTTCAGAGTGCTGAATAACGAACGTATCGACGTAACGTTCGCTCGCCTTTCGTCACGGTTTCACGCCTCCATTCTCTCCGACGGAAAGTAGCAGACGGTGGATAAATCCTTCCCGACGTCGACGTCGTCTGAAACGTCTGTAATTGATCGATTTCAGGAAACGACAGCTACGTCTTCGAGATAAGCCGCGACGTTTCGCACATTCCACGCTTCTGCAGGCCGCCGAACTCAGCCTGGAATCCCGACAACAAGCAGTCGCACCGCTTCAGCGCAGGTGACGCCGACAACGCGTCCTTGTACCAGGCGCTGCGACGTCTTCCGGAGTCACGCTCATTAAAGTTCGATCCGTACGACAGTTGAGCTGGTATTTGCTACGAGCTCGCGGTATTCGCTGATGGACGAACGAGGCAGACGGAGGACGACGAAGGGGGCATCGCCGAGGCATCGTCGTCGAGAACCGCCGAGCGTCGAGCTCTCAATTAACCCCATCAAGTCTCACTCTAATCGGTTACGGGGAAAAATTCTTCGCTGGCCCGGCAAATTGTTTGTTGTCACTATAGCGACGGCAAAAAGATTTGTTAAGAGCCTCAATTGCTAATTGAGCCAGGTAAATTCAACCACTATCGCAGTGACGTTTCACGGCCGAAACGGCGAAATTATATTTTCCGTGCAACAAATCTTTTCGCTGTCACTGTGTAGTGACAAACAGTCTGCTGTGCCAGCAGACGAATTTTCTCCGTGGCAAAACGACCTCGCGAATATTATTACTGATCGACGACGACATGTCGTGGTGAGCGTCGTGTACGACGCGACCGAGAACGACAGCGCTCTTTGTTTACAGATCGGGAAGAAAAATGAGGGAAACGATCGATTCTCCGTCTCTCTCGACTGTCCGATTGAGATTTCATTCGGTGACTTTTCCGTTCTCGTCGCTCTTGTCGAATCTGTTTATATAACGCTGCGACATTCCGCGCTACTTCGCAGTCCGTAACAGCGGGCTTCGGCGAAATCATCTCCGAGTGAAGAATCGACGCACGTGAAAAATCGACGATACGAGCCGCGTAAATAAGTTTGAACTTGACTGACGACGACGATATGACGACGACGACGACGAGGACGCATGTCGGACGGAGGGCCCGCGCTGTTTCAAACCACGGCCGGGTCGCGCATGCAAATGCGAGACCGCAACAATCGCTCGTTTGCGCGATAGATGTAACGTTTACGTTTCCCCTCCTCGATAACGTTAATCCGTAATTTCGTTGCACCGCTTAACTCTCGATCGCAGCCACGAGCGTCGAAATTGCGCCGCTCGAACGCGGCCGACTCTTTTTTTCCGCCGGTTCGATCGCAAAACCAGACGAATTAAAGACTGATACTCGCTCGTAACACACGCGTAAACGTGACATTGCATATCAAAACGCACGTGTTTCCGCTTTCGCGTTCGAGCGGGGGCGGAAAGTGAAATACTGTGTTAACACAAACGTTCTTTCCGATAACCTTTCGCCACACGTGAAGATGTTCAAATGTTGTTCCATTGGAATATCAACGTCTCGTTTATTGCAACGGGCATAGTTCGTTAATAATTTCACCATTCATTTTTCACGATCGATAAACATTGAATGAAATATTATACTAGAGGCTCGCGAAAGCGCGTCGGGTCGAATTGCAGATATTATTGGCTCGAAGGATTAATCATTTTACAGACGGGGATGAAATAATTATGAAAAATGGCGGTGGAAGAGTAACGACGGCGGATATTTTAATTGAACGTGGCGTGTCTTGTTTCTTTGCCTGGATAAATTAAATTAATTAAATTAATAAAATAAATAAAAATGAAAAAAGTCGACAGAAAAAAGAAACACGGCTGGAAATTCGACAAACTTTCGCACGAGCCCCTGATATTAATATATAGGGTGTTTCAAACATGTGGGCATTATTTCTAAAATTATATCAAATACGATAAATAACAGGATATCAGATGGGACAAATGTTTATATGAACTTTTTGTGTTACTTTTACGTTCTAAATTTATTTCTCGATTATCGAAATTATGTGAAATTATATGAAATTATGCTCACATATTATGTGAAATTACGTTCGCATATTGTGAAATATTCTATATACCTCATATATATCACACAATGTAATCCTTCGACAAACCCTCCCAACGTTTACTTTGCGGTCGATAAACAACGGATGATAAAATATCGCTCGGGAATTTTCGACGTTACATCGGCGTATCTGTCGGTAAGGCGAAATACTATCGAAATGCCGCGCATTCGAGAGTTAAAGGATGCTTCGAATTATCCTAGGCATTCCTCACTGCCAGACAGGATAAGAGCTGACTTCATGCATCTCCCCGAACTGTTCTTTCGTTCCCAACGACAAACTATTTCACCGAGTACCGCTGCTTGAAACGAAGGGAAAGAAGAAGCAAAAAGGAAAAAAAGAGAAACGAATTCTCTCGCTTGTGTCATTCCGCGCGCGTTATCCTCTTAACTGGTTTAACGGTTGCACACAATCGTGTGTTAGAACGTTATTAGCGCGCTTCGGATGAGAAATAAGAAGAGAGACTATATTAAAAAAAGTGTTGCATTCAAGTAAACCATTATTCCGATAGTTCCGAGCAAATTTTTACTTGGCTCAAGTAAATTTTACCTGGATCAAATATTTACATCTCAATAAGTAAAAAAAATCATTAACACAACATCATTACAATGATATTTTATAACATGTAACGTTTTCAAATATATAGTTCTTAATGTTGTACATAACGTCATTGTTAGTATTATATTATCAAGTTACAGTTTGAAAACATTTATAAAATATTATGTTAGAATTGTTGTAAAATCCATGTAAAATCAATGTTTCAAATGATTGATTTAACCTTTCTTGCTTACTGAGTTTCCTTGAATGAATGTAACCAAAAAGTGCAAAATTCAAGTAATATTTACTTAATGCAAGTGAAAAATTTGCTCAGAACTATCGGAGTAATCATTTATTTGAACATAGCACTTTTTCGTCAGCGTATCCGAGCATCCGACATTTTACAATTCGCTTCTGCAAACGCCGTCTATGTGAAGATAATTGTATTCTAGCGTTTTTTCTACTTAAACGTCAAACGCGACACGCCGTTTCCTTTCTCCTAGATAGTCGTATACGCGCGAGCGCACGAGCGTGCGCTCTCAGTGCTTGATGAAAAGGGACAGAAAAAGATGAAAAAAAAAATCAACAAAAAAGGACACCGGGTCTTCGCGCTGATGATGATGAAACGCATTAATTGTTAAGTTGCATGTCTCCGTCGCCGCTTCAGGAGAGAGAGACGCGATTCCACGTTTGTGTGTGTATGTGTGTGCGTATGTATATGAGTGTGTGTGCGTTTTATTCGCGCGGATCGGAGTCGTTAATCCGAAAGGAGTTTATAGGAGTAGCAATAATGTGCACGACACATTCTCGATGTACACCATCTACGTCCAATCTAGAGTGTAGAGTTCGTTTTTAAGTAGATACAGACGAGACATTAGAGATAAGTTAGTAAAAACGGCACGTCGTCGCGCGGCGAGGGACGACGATAATTTCGGAGGAGCAGTAGGAGGAGGAGGAGGGGGGGAAGGAGCGGAGGTGGATATAATTCTTGGCGCTGAGTGTGGGTGGGCGGGTGTGGGTGTGTACGTGTGCGTTTACGGCGTAAAATAAAGTTTCAAGTCTACATTCGTTGGATATCTGTGTCCACTACAAAAAGCTGTGTCACGAGGACTCTTGTCTGTCTGACGGTATTATTATACACGTAGGCTACTTCTCAGATTAATCGGACGTGTACATAGGTGAGGGGCTGGGAGGGGGGGGGGGGAAGGTGTGTGCGACGTGTTGATGAGATGATGATGATATGTGATAAGGCACGGCTTTGGCCATGCACAACTGCGTTCGTTCGACTCCCGTCGGTATTTGCGAAGAATTCGACACGTGTCGTCTCGCGACGACGCAGCGGTGTGTCTGCTTCTCTCATTCATCCTTCTATCCTGGTGTTCGCGGTTAATTCTCGCACACGAGCAAATTCGTACCACACTCTTCGATGCACGTGTCGGCGATCCCACTCGCGAATGCACGGTCGGTATCGCGTTCGGAGAATCGTCGGCGACAGCGTAAGCGTCGATTTCATAATTACGCACAATGATGATTTAACGTCTAAGAATTTGATCTTTCGGGAGCTGGAAAAAATGGTCGGGTCGTCGGTGATTTTGTTGGCACGAGAGAGACGAGTCATTTCACGAAGATGTAGAAAATATTGTAGCAGAAATTACCACAAAATTTCGCGATACCGGAATTATGACTGAAATGATTATGTTGTAATCTTTAGTGATGTACATATAAAATACATCACCAAAGATTACAACACACAAAATAATTTTAATCGTAATTCCGGCATGGCGTTAGAAAATTTGACGGTAATTTTTGAAACGTGGCGAGCAACGAGGGGAGATACTTTGAAAACATGGAGTTTCGTTGCTATTACTGAAAGAAGTATTACCAAAGGTAAACTTTCGCAAGCTCCTGATAACATCGAGAGATCCACCTAATATATTCCTCGCTCTTTATGCGATCACATCATCGGCGTCGCTATCGCGCCAGGGGAAATTAATAATCCATCAACGGCCGCGCGCGCGGGAGTGATGAAACTTTCTTAGACTCGTGATTGCGAGACACGAAGGAGTTCCCACAAATACCGACGGGGCAGCTGTTTTATAAATATTTCATATATTTTGTTATACTGTTTCTATGCTCCTCGCGCAATTATAATTCAAACTAAGTGTATTATAAAGCATTATATCTAACACTCCTCTCACGACTTCTATATAACTTTTTACACACTTCTACACACCGGGTGAGAGCGAGTAGCGCAACTCGCCCGGATATTCTATATATATACATATACATACATACATATATACAATCGTAATAAGGTCTCGAGAGAGATAAGCACAAATATAATAAAACGATATATTCTTCCTAATATATTATTATCCGCTCTCGCGAGAAGTCACCAGGACCTCCTTGGAAGAGCATCCCACGCGAGATCGTTCGCGCCGGCCGATCGAGAACGTGTGGCAAGTTGGACGTATGTCGTGACGCTGTGTGCTTCGCCCGTTAATCCCTTACCGCGTAGTTAATTCTCCGTCGTGAGAGCTCGCGCTCTGACGCGAGTCGCGCGCGTTAAAAGTACAAGAATAGATTAAAACGGATTACTCTCGGTGTTCTACCTCTTTAACGAAAAAGGAAAGGAGAAAACGTGTAGAATCTAACGTTTCTATCGGCAATAAATAATACGGCGGATCTCGTCGATGGATCGAGACGTGGTTCTATCTCGGAACGCAAACGGGGGCGAGTTCGATCTTCCGGAATTAATTTCGGGAGGAGATCAATTACACGGGCGGCATCGGAGAAGCGAGTGACCTGTGCTCGGGAAAATTTCATAATGAATGGAAATTATAAGGATCGTGTATATATACAAGGAAGATTCGGTAATTCGCAATTTTGAAAAATTCGGGATCCTGCAGAAGGAAAGTATACGTGTTACTTTTTGTTGCGAATGAAAAACAGATTCAAAGGCGAGAAAACAAGTTTTTAGAGAAAATATGAAAATATTGTATAACGTTCCCTTTAAAGAATTTTTCTTTGCAAAATATATGTTTTAATATCTCTGAAACCATTGATGATGAAACAAGAAATGTTAGGTACAAAATTCACACGCATAGTAACACTTTACATTTTATAACCTGAAATTCTACAGGAAAAAAATATTTACGCTATTTTTTATCGCGACTGGAAAACGATTCCAGGGATGAGAAAAAATGCCTTTAAAGGAAATATGAAATTATTTTGTAATATTCTTTAATGAGTTTTTCCATTTGCAAAATGTGCGTTCTGATATCTTAGAAACCACCAAAGATATCGAAGAAATGTAAAGAACAAAAAATTCAGTGGTACCTTATATTTTATAACACTATGAAAGAAATTAAGAAAAAAAAATGCTTTCGTCATTTTTCCGCCAATCCTGGATTTAAAATCGTTTTCTTACCGAGGAATTTGCGGGTCGCCGAACTTTCCTTGTTCGATACATTCAATCGCATGAGAAATAAGAAGGGCCATTGAGAACAAACCGGACGTTTCGTTTCCTGACCCTTTTCATTTCCTGCAATTTCTCAAAGAGATTACAAGTTTTTATAGTAGAGTGTCGTCTTTACCTGTCGTGCCGCGTGCGTTATCTGTCGCGCTCGCGCGGCACGCTATGCCGTAAGGGGTTAATTCAGAGATATATTCGACACGTGTATATATTAATAAGTATACCCGCGCCGTTGCTCGCGTAGGACGAGCCGCGAACTTACGTGCGTGCATGCGTGCGTGTGTGTGAGTGCGAAATCGGATCGCGCGTCCGCATTGTCGGGAGCTCGGCGCGGTCGTGCTTTTTCATTGTATATTCGTCAACCGAACTAGTTAGGGGACACACTTGAAGTGACGGCCTTAAAATAAAGATTTATTTTTTTCACGACGATAAATATCCCGCCGGCGGCGGGCTTATGAGCGTGGCGCGAAGCGATCTTCTAAAAATGATTCGCCGAGCGAGGCACGCGAAACGGAAATGAAATTGAAACGGATCTCGAACTCTCTCTATCTCTCATTCTCTCTTTCTCTTACTCTCATTCTCCGACGAGGCTAATCCTCGTGAGAAATATTCAAACGTTTGTAAATATTTTTCAACACTTATACAATGTGCTTATAAGTGGCATTCTTTGTTCGACACTGGGTTACGAATCAAATAAATGAAATAAATGAAAAATAATTTTAAGGACTATCAGCACGGATGTGTGTTTCGCATTCGGAAGTTCCGTCCTGAAAGTGTCATCTCCTCTGTGTTAACGATAGAAAATAACATAACATGTAATAATAATTATCATATAATATAATAGCGATGATATGATGAGGTATGATCATAATTATAACGTAATATAACAATATATATTAAGAGAGAGATGATCTCGTCGCACTGTCAAATAGAAGCGCACAGAGCATTTGGTCACTGTGAATGAGCTCGCAGCTAACAGTTACCGCGCTCGATATCGCCGGTTGTTAAGTCCGGAGCATCACCGAGTAAGGCGGATTCGTGGCTGCGAAGAGAGAATCAACCCCGAGGAGCTGATTCACCGAAAGATACGTGGTGGGAGAGACAGGGGGAAGAAGTCGAAGGACAATAGAGCTTCGAAACTCGCCGCTTCTTCGTTCGTCTCGCGAGAGCACTCTCTTCCCGAACAGCCGTTCTCCCCGTCACCCGTTCGGCACGTGCCGACAGGTGAGCACGAGCGTCAGGTCGCGGCGTTAACCCCGAAGAGCGCTTCTCCAGCGCGACGGCTGGCGCGTTGGAGCTCACGGACGGAAGGTGCGACAGACATCTCGTCCGTGGCTCTTCGGGAGCAGAAAATAAACGTGTTACGCGGGGCTCGCGGCGGTCCATTTTTGGGATCCCCACCAGGGCGGGCGGCGACGACGCGTCGCGTCCTTCCGCGCGCACTTTTCGCCCGGAGGCTTTTCCGTTCTCCGCTCAGATACTCGACTCGCGCTGCTCCGATCGGCTCGGGTTAGGTAAGTGCAGCAGCACCATCATCAGCACCATCATCATCA